AAAAAAAAAGAAAAGAAAAGAAAAAAGCCTAGAATAAACCCTTGAGTGCAGGATTAGAGTTCAAGATATGCAAACAAAGAAACAAGGAAAAGACAGAAAATCTCACAGGCCAGAGAAGGCTAAAGACACGTAACAATTAAATGTAATATAGTGCCATGGATTGGATACTGGAACAGAAAGAAAATGTTAATAGAGTTAACAGCAATATACCACTATCAATATTTAGTGAACTCCAAATAAAGTCTAGTGTTTATGGTCAGGACAGTAGCTCACACCTGTAATCCCAGAACTCTGGGAGGCTGAAACAGGTTGGTCACTTGAGATCAGGAGTTTGAGACCAACCTGGCCAACATAGTGAAATTCTACTTTGGCAAAAATACAAAAATTAGCTGGGTGTGGTGGCAGACACCTGTAATCCCAGCTACTTGGAAGGCTGAGGCAGGAGAAATGCTTGAACCAGGGAGGTGGAGGCTGCAGTGCGTTGTGATCATGCCATTGCACTCCAGCCTGGGCAACACAACGAAACTCCATCCATACCAACACCAGTTTATTTTGACATAAGTATTATGGTAACATAAGATGTTAAGAATGGAGAAAACAGGGTAAGTGATACACTGCTATTCTCTGTACTTTAACTTTTCTGTAAATCTAGAATTACGGCAAAATAAACAGCCTATTAAAAGAAAAGACCAAAGTTAAAACAGCAATTAATTTGAGGAAAATAGTAAGTTGAGAGTGGGCTAAAAAAAACAAACTTTAACTTCGAATTGGAAAATAATTAGAACTCATCTTCTAGAAACAAGACTAAGGCAGGTGAGGGTCTGATGTGCTGTGGGTAAGTTGTTCAATGCAAGTCCATTTCCTCATCTATAAATGGGCATATCAGAACCTAGAGTAGTTGGGATAATTAAATGATGAACTATAGTTATTAATAAAATTTTGGTCATTTTTATGTCACTTTCATTTCTGCCATATCCTTATATCATTTGTTATTTTTATTCACAATTTTTCTTTAAATTGACTTCAACAATGTACTAAAATTTATTTTAAAAGAAAAATTGGTAACTAGTGTTAAGTAGATGCCATAGTTTTTCTGTTATAGGTTCTATTTTATCAGTTGAGTACAATCTATGAAAACCTAACGCATACTACTTAGCAGCGCCTGATATATACATTCAGCACTCAGTAAATACTAGTTATTAACATCACAGCTCAGAATCATTAAAAAAAAAAAAAAAAAAAAGAATTAGTCATGATTATCAGAACAGGAATCTCCGAGGACAAAAAAAAGAGAATCATGGTGAATATATATCATTAGACCCTCTAAGTATTACTGTTTCAGATCATCTTTTAACTTTTTATTTTCTATGAGCTACAGCTTCTCACATGAGTCAGCAGGTCTAATCCAAGAATTTTAATTTATTTCCAAATTTGTAGACAGAGCCAAAGAGGTGCCATTATTAATAATCTGGTTGGTGGGGCCGGGCGCGGTGGCTCAAGCCTGTAATCCCAGCACTTTGGGAGGCCGAGGCGGGTGGATCACGAGGTCAAAAGATCGAGACCATCCTGGTCAACATGGTGAAACCCCGTCTCTACTAAAACTACAAAAAATTAGCTGGGCATGGTGGCACGTGCCTGTAATCCCAGCTACTCAGGAGGCTGAGGCAGGAGAATTGCCTGAACCCAGGAGGCGGAGGTTGCGGTGAGCCGAGATCGCCCCATTGCACTCCAGCCTGGGTAACATGAGTGAAACTCCGTCTCAAAAAAAAAAAAAATCTTGTTGGTAAGTAAAATGCTAGTGAACCGCTTTACGTATTCATATTTAGTAAGCTGTTTAATTGAACACTGACAGCATGAATTAGGAATGGGATTTCAGAACTAACAGGAATTTAAAAATTACCTTTTAACTCCTTAGAGATCTCTTCCTTGATCATACAGCTAATTAGCAGTAACCGTAGACAAAAATCTCCTGGTTTCTGATACTTAATTTCAGTGTCATTTATATGACTTAGGAAGTTCTGCTAACAATTGGGCTTTGATCAAAAATGTACATAATAGTTTTAACTCCTTATTATTTTGGGTGATAGAGTAGGTATGATTTTATAATGAGAACACTCAACTCTAGAGAGCTTCAGTAATTTGGCCACAACCACAGACCAATTAAGCCTAATATTTTGTCTAAAATTTTAATCTAGGATCTCCTTGTTTCCTGCTTTTCAAAACACAACGCACTGCTTTACTACAGAAAACAGTGTCACAGAGATAAACACAAAGATACTAACCACAGGCACAGTACTGAAGAAAGAAAAAGACCCAGAAAGTATTTTAAAGGAATTATATTATTGTATAACATATATAATAAAGCATTATTTTAAGTAGCTAAATTCAAGCAAGTTTTCTCTTACTTGTCTTCTCACCAACAGAATCCTCTGAAGGAAAACACTTTTTATCAACTTCATATTCCTTTGAAGAAACACTGTCACCTGATGAGTCCTGAAAATAAACAGGAAAAAAAAAAGTAAATCTGTAATTTTAACTGTTTTCTATTGAATGAATCCCAGCAGATCTGTTTCTAAAACAAAATATTTGGTTTATTATGAATTACATTTCATGTGATTTTAAATCAATTTTCAAATGATTTTTACAAAAATTTCCCCTGTATTCACTAAGTGTACATCATCTTTTAAAAGCCAGAGTACAAATACTGTAATCTGTCATCCTCTCAAAAATGTTTACTTCCTGGCCGGGCGCGGTGGCTCAAGCCTGTAATCCCAGCACTTTGGGAGGCCGAGGCGGGTGGATCACGAGGTCAAGAGATCGAGACCATCC